AAGTCACGCTGCGCCTTTAATTTCCCTGTCTGATGTTGCGTGCGCTGAATCTGGCGTTTCGGGCAAATCTTAAACCCACAAATTAGCCCCTAGACAGCGTGCCTTTATGCTTCTTCTTCTGCGCCTACGTTTATCAGATGTATGCTCCTATGAAGCCAGGGCGGTCAGTCTCAGTCGGACCACAGTCATGAAGCCGGGCTGGAAGTGTCGTTCAGGTTTGCTCAACCCCACAAGGTTTAACTGAGTGTAGACGCAGAGCCGCCTGCTCTCCTATTTTCCCTCCGACTCATCTCTGTGGAAGGGGCGGCTGCATGTGCAAAGAAGGCCCACTAGAGAGAGGCAGAGGACTGCATGTGGACCTGAGGGGGAAACACGTGTCAGCAAACTTTCTGCTTCTTCCGCTGCACAGCACCCACTTCCAGCCAGGCGGATGCTGGGAAACACATCCTCAGCTCAGTCAGGTGCCTTCTCTGAAGAGCACTGAAGGGGAAAATCTGCCTTTTCAGATCCATTTGGCTCCCACATTCAGACATGTGCCATGTACTCATAGCAAGGGCTGTTAACAAGAAGGCTCTCAAGAGCCCAGAACATCATTCAAGGTTTCACATTAAATGTTCCTGGGGGATCTGCATTAGCACCCAGTGCCAGCTTCTCCGCTGTTATTACTTATTGCCTGGGCCATGGTAGCACAGCAAACCCTCAGACACGTAGTCCACGCTGCTGGGTACTGTACAAGCATGGGGCAGACAGGCAGGAGGTGCTCCTGCGAGAGTTGTAGCACTGCATTCACCAGAGATATGCTGTTAGGCCCATCTCTGTATCACTTATAAAACTAAATCAGAGTTATAAAACTAACTCTTCTACTAGACATTTTGTTCAGTCACCAAATGGAGCCAGCCAGACTTGCTCAGGGAACTGCAGCAGGCAATCAGCTCCCTGGAATGCTTCGATTTTAGAAGCCGAGCCCCTCAAAAACCATTTTGGGACAACTGATTGAAAACACTCCTGAAAGGGACAGGGAATTATTTCAGTCTTAGCAGCTACCAAATAATCTTGCAACATGCTTAGTTTAACGAGGAGGCTTAAAGCCATGTCTGGATTTGCAGGGTTGCAGTTTGAGAATCTGGAGCGTAGCTTTAGAGAAGGTTTGAAATAGGCTGTATCAATGCTACCATGTCCAATAGTCCTATACGCACGGTGAGAGATTTCACTGGAGCTTGGCCTGTGTTCTGGCTCCACTTTGAGGGTGTATTGAACATGGAAATAGCACTTTTCCAGAGGAAGCCATTCTTCATCCAGAAGGATGAGTCTCCTGCGCAACAGTTTGCAGACAAGTGTTACCACTGGGCTGGCATTGTCCTATGCTGAATTGAACAAAAGACCTAGAAGAGGAAAAAATGCCCGTGACCTAAACAAAATCTTAATCAAGGGTCACTATCAGTGCAAGAGCGCTTGATCGTTAAAGCTTGGTAATATCTTCAAAGCCCTGTCCAGGCAGGGCAGGCAGCCCTTTGAAGCCGGTGTGGGAACTAGAGGCAGCACTATGATTTTTAAAGTGCCTTTCATCTCTCTCTCTGGTAAGGACATTCTTAGAAGCAAGCTTGTCAGATGCCATTTACCTACATAGGCCTGAACAAGGCTGGTCTTCCCCAGGATTTCCCCCAGTGGCTGTTCTGTGGGGACATGCGAGTTTGATTAACTTGGTGGGTTTATGTATAGATATGGTTTAAATACCATTGGCGTATTTACAGAATTCCAGCACCTTCAAGATGGGTGGGATCTCCCCTTTACCACCTAACTGCCATATAATACTGGGCCATTGATGGTTTGATTACCTTTCTCTTAAAAGCCTTTACAGCCTGCATGCAGAAACATGTAGCCAACTCTGGACCGAGGGTAGCAAATAGGAAAGTGCTAGCGAAGTAAGAGCAAAGGGCTGGTTCCTTGTGTGCAGGACAAACTGCCCATGACATGGGCAATGATAACCCCCACTACCTCCTTCAGGCTGTTCTCATTTGGATGGGGCAGTGCAGTTGTGTTTCCCTTTCACTGTTCCAGTACTGACAGCTTTGCTCAACTCTGTACAACGCTTGAGAAATGTCCCTGCCTCAAAGATCTCACTGATGTGAACAGGAGTTGGTGTTTCACTTACACTTCAAATGAACACGGTTTCATAGTTTCTAGGGTCAGAAGGGACCTGAGCAGA